GCTGCCGACAAGGATCCTTCTGTCAGGTTGGGCCGACTACCTCTTCTGACTAAGTAGACCAGGGATCACGATGGCTCGGGATGACGAAACCATGGGATCTTGATCGGGTCTATCATCCATTCCCCCACCATCCGCTTTAAGTGCTAGGTGATGAAATTTCATATTTTAAATATCAAACTTTTCAATACTTTCCAAATTCCCAAATCCAAATCCAGTTCTCCAAATTCCAAACCTATTGCTGCTACTATATGCCAGATAACACATATATTCTACGTATCTGATTGACGACTAGCCTTAATCGAAAGTTCTCTCTCGTGATCGGGAGGGGTAATTAACTATAGGGGCTTGCGCCAATAGGAAACCAGAACTCAGATCATAGTCCTCGCAAAATGAGGGCGAAATCTCTGGGTAGTGTCTTATCTACAAACCCATCTGCCTTCCAAAATTTACCTCGGAACTTATTCAGTTAAAACTCCCTCGCCGAATAAAAATAAAAGCGAGCGGAGGCCGGGGCCGAGTTTTCGGAGCCCACACTCTAATCACATTGTGGATATGTGTAATTTGTTAACTTCTCAGCAGAGGGATTGTCAGGATCTCGCCTTCTACACTACTACCTATTCCTCTTGGGCGATCCAGATAGCTAAAATTAAATGGCTTACAAGAGGATAGGAAAACTTAAAATTTCTTTACTCCAAAATTCGGAATAAGCAAAAATTTTAATAGGAGTGCTCTTAAGGTTCCTATCTTTGGCATTGATCAAAATCAAGCTGATAACATCACTAGCATTATCAACTACTTCAAGGATCTGTTCAATGCTCCCTCACCTGTCAATTCTGATATCAACTCTTTTCCTTCTGGAAACACTATACCTACCTCTGAAGTTGATGGCCTCATCAAGACTGTGACTTACGAGGAAATTAAAGAGGTTATTTTTTCGGGTTGCTCTACTTCCTCTCCTGGTCCAGATGGCTTTAATTTTGAGTTTTACAAGAAGACCTGGAGTATTACGGGCAACTCTATTTGCAATGTTGTGAAAAGCTTTTTCAACAAGTGTTATCTCCCTACAAGTGTGAAAGCTACTGCCATCTCTCTTGTTCCCAAAAAGCTCCATGTGGAAAGCATTTATGATTTCAGGCCTATTGCCTTTTGTAATGTGTTTTACAAAATCATTGCGAAGATCATTTCCAATCGCATGAAGCTCATCATGCCCTCCATCATTCACTAGAGCTAAGCTGCCTTTATTGCTAAAAGATACTCCACTGACAACATCATATTGGCTGGGGAAATTTTAAGTTATTTGAAAAAGAAAGCCAGAAACAAGTACTTCTGTGTGAAGCTTGACATTAGGAAAGCCTTTGACTCTATCTCTAGAAGGTTCCTCTTTGATAGACTTGCTCAAAAATGCTTTCCCGCTCAATTCATTAGTTGAATCAAAACATGTGTCAATGATGTTTATTTCTCTATTAATGTTGATGGGACTCTGGAGGGGTTCTTTTTTTCTTCCTCTGGCATCAGACAAGGCTGTCCCTTGAGCCCTTACTTATTCTGTATTATTATGGATGCTTTCTCTTGTCTTATTGATTCTACTCCTAATCATGAAGCTTTTGAAGGGTTCAAGTATGAGAACTTCAGGATCTCTCATCTTTCGTATGCCGATGACTTATCTTTGTTAAGGCGGATGTTTCTAATGTTGATCAGCTCTCTAGGCTTTTATCTGCCTTTTCAAACAGCTGAGGTCTGTATTTAAACCTGAACAAGAGCACCATTATAACTCACTACAACTTTCCAGGTGCTGTCGGCATTTCCCACTCCCTTAATATTCCCACATAGCTAGCACCTTTACCTATCTTGGCATGCTCGTTTCTTTGGGGAGAATCAAAGTCTTTGACTTCAGCCCTCTTGTGGACAAAATCACTAGACTGGTTGTTTGTTGGAAAGCGAATCTGCTTTCTTTTGCGGGGAGAATGCAATTCATTAAATACACAATCACTAATATCATTGTCTGTTGGATACGTGGGAGTTATATTCCGAAAAGCATTATTAAAAAAATTGGCAAGCTTTGTGCTAAGTTTCTTTATTATGGTGGCTCTACAGTAAGGCACCTTCATCTCATATCTTGGGCTAATACGTGTAAATCGGTTTCCAAAGGTGGTCTTGGCATTGCTTCTTTCCCTACGCTTATATTTGCCTATAACTGTGGTGTTATTTTTAGATGGTACAATACTATTTCTCCTCTCATTGATTGGTTGAAAATTAGATATGTATCCCCTTGGAAACCTAATCTTTTTAATGTTTCTTCGTACTGGAAGAGTTTATCCCTCACGGCTACAAAAGCTAAGCTTAATTTCTCTTTTCCCATTCATCCTAATAGCAATGCTGTGATCTTGTGGGACCACTGGTTAGGGGATACCCCTATTTATGCAAATTTTTGCTCCTGCTTGTGGCGGGGATGAGAGGCTGGCTGAGTGGATTAATGCCTCGGGTTGGTCTATTCCTAATTCGGTGTCCTTTTTTAAGGGACCTTATTCTGACCAATCCTATTTCTCACGTGAATGCCCCCAATATTCTTTGGAATAAATTACAAACTCCATCCTTTAAAGACTATTACTTGGAATATTTTGCCCAGGATTATGATTTTACTTCACATGCTTTGGTTTGGCACCGTAAGCACTCTGTACGGTTCTCTGTTTACTCTTAGATGGCGTATAAGGGGGGCCTAAAAACTGTTGATGAACTTCTTAAGAGGAATATTCACATTGAAGATTCTTGTTGCATTCTTTGTCATGCTCATACGGAAACTATGAGCCATCTGTTGTTTGAATGTGACTACTCTTTTTCGGTGCTGACTAGAATCATTCCTACCTTCTTGGCTTACTACTTGAGGCCTAATGTTGTTCAAGCCTTCAATTTTGCTAGTAACCTGATGGTTAATCGTGACTTGAAAAGTGCTACTCTTGTAGCTCTTAATGCTATTGTTTATCATTTGTGGTTTGAGAGAAATAGCAGGCGGTTTAATAAAGTGGTTGTGTGTGTGGTGACCTTGTCGGAAAAATTTCTGAAAGCTCTTAAATTTAAAATTACAACCCGGAAGAAAGGGGATTGGGTGATTGAGAGGCTCTTTCGCAAGCCTGTTGGATGATTGCTGGATGGGTTGCCTTCTCAATTTGCTTGGAGCCATTTTGATCTGGAGGGTATTATGCTTATATTCAAATCATTAAAGATATGTATGCAGGAGCTATTACTTGTGTTCAAACACAAGGTGGATTGACCAAGTATTTCCCTATTTCGGTTGGGTTACATCAAGGATCAGCCTTAAACCCATATCTTTTTTGCTTTAGTCATGGATGTTCTCACTAGACATTTGCAAGAGGATGTACCTTGGTGTATGCTTTTTGGCTGATGATATTCTTCTTGCTGATAAGACTAGAGAGTGAGTTGAAGGTAAACTTGAATTATGGAGGTCAACCTTAGAGTCTAAAGGTTTTCGCTTGAGTAGATCTAAAACGGAATATATGGAGTGTAATTTTAGTAGTAATAGACCTAGTGAGGGGATTGTGACTTTGGGCGATCAAGTCATTAATAGGAGTACACGTTTTAGATATCTTGGATCTATTGTTCAGAGTGATGGTGAAATAGATAAGTTGGATGGTTGAAGTGGAGGAATGCATCGGGCTTGTTATGTGATAGAAATGTACCCCTCAAACTTAAGGGAAAATTCTATAAGATGGTAGTGAGGCCTGCAATGCTTTATGGTGCCGAATGTTGGCCTTTAAAAGAGAAGCATAATACTAAGTTAAGTGTGGCAGAGATGAGGATGCTTAGGTGGATGAGTGGCTTTACCCTTAGAGATAGGATACGAAATGAGCATATACGTGAAAAGGTTGGAGTAGCTCCAATAGAAGATAAGATTAGAGAAAGGCGCCTTAGATGGTTTGGTCACATAAAACGGCGGCCTTGCGATGACTCGATTAGGAGAGTAGAGGTATTAGATTTGACTTATGTTAAGAAAGATAGGGGTAGACCTAAAAAGACTTGGTTAGAAAATATTAGAAATGACCTTTCTTTATTAGATTTAAACGAGAATTTGACTTTTAATAAGACACAATGGAGAAAAATGATTCATGTAGCCTACCCCACGTAGTGGGATAAAGGCTTGATGTTGTTGTTGTTGTTTTGTTACCGGTTGCTGAATTTAGATTGGATTCTGTCGCTTTGTTGATGCTCTTCGGGTATAGCATGGATTTTTTGGCAGGCTTTCTTTTGGGGGTCTGGACAATGATGAGGCATGCATATCACTCCCTTTGGATGGTCTCCGGGCAACCAGGAAAGTGTCTTAAACTGAATCCTGATTAATCTGCTTTCTGAGTCCTCCCTGACATGTTTTTCCTGTCTGTTTTTATTTTGGTTTTCCTTACAGTTTTTCTTTCTCTTGATTAATTTTTTGGGTTCGTTTTTCCCATTGTACACCTGTTTATTTTTTATGGATTGGGCTAATCCCTCAATTTTCCCCAAAAAAAAAAAAGCTTCACGTGGAGGTGGCAGAAGAACATCTTTTTATGATAATGGGAAGATGATTGGTTACAAGTGGCATGGCTGATTGGTTAGAGCAGCTTGAAGAGACAAGGGATATATAGCTTGCTGACGTTGAAATTCCCTTGGAGGAGAATCTTGCTGGGGTGTTCACGTGAGCAGAAATCAAATAGAATGGCTATTAGGAGTAGGATGGGACAGCTTTAACGGAGAAATGAAATAGATTGGCTTGAGACAAGCAGTGTTGGCTGATTGGAAGACGTGAGGGTGATCACGTGAGTGCAAGAGAAATGTCAGGAGTTACACTATGCAGTAGAGAAAGGACAAAAGCAACAAGAGAACAAAATGAAAAGAGGAAAACGTTGTTTAATGAGTTGTCGGGTAAAAAAAATAAACAGTTTGATAGCATGCGAGTAAAATCCTGTAGCTTAATGGTTGCAAGAAGAGCAACTTTTTTCTTTAAAAAAACGTGAAGGAAAGAAACTTTGCTGTTGCTACTGTTCGGTTTTAACAGTCTTGATTAAAGTAGCTGATGAATGGACCTCACGGCTTGGGGGTTATAGGGAGGATAGCTGCTGATATAAAGGACCTTCACGCGAAGAAGGAAGACCTCATTTGCTGCGGCTGTTCGGTTTCAACGGAGGATAGGTGACATCAAGGACGTTTGGAAGAGGCGTTTGGATCGTTGCAGGTTAAGGAGGATCGACACTTTGCTGCATGTTGAACTTAGTTGGGAGATGAGAAGAGAAAGGTGGCTGGATTTTTCCTTTGCGTACAAAGGAGAAGAGGCAAAGAGTAAGAGATTGTGATTAGGTTGAGGAGTTCAGAACAACAGGGAAGAGTTCGAAGCAGAACTGGACATGAACATGGAAAAAGAAAAATAGCCTCTAGAGCGAAGCTTGCGGGTTGGTTATATAAAGAAAAGCCAGAGGCTTCTGTCTCATTTCAGCGAAGAAGCAAGACGTTAATGCTATCTGCGCTCTCAGAAATGGATTGACGCAATTTTGACATTTAATTTGAGTCTTTCTTTGTATGGTATCCGGATTTCTTGGTAATAAGTAAACTGCCATATAAATGATATGCCGCGTGATAATCCCAAACATCAGAAATGCTTTTTGATATTGGAATCGACGCATCAGGAGTGCGGCTAGGGTTTTTCTTCCTTCCCCGCCATCTTCTGAGCATACGATCTTGGCTTGGCCGGAGGACACTTCCTTACTTGTTACTATGGGTGAGGGTTTTAATCCTTCGGATTTCCCTCCTCTTGTTCAGGCTCCCGTGGTATTTCCTTCTTCAACTCCCAGAAACTGGAACAAAGTGTTCGGTCCAGAACCCTCTGCTCCCAAAGTTCTTTGTCTTTCTTACTTCCCGCAGGAACCAGAAATAGTTCCTTTTTCTGATGAGAAGCTGACTAAAGGTGGAGAAGATTGGAACTTATGTCTTGTTGGTTACTCTATTGGTAGACGTCCGTTCTATGAAGCGTTACTCGGAGACATAAAGAAAACATGGAGTCTTAAAGGCTCTGTCCAGCTCTTATCGTTAAGCGATGGTTTCTTTCGCCTTTGTTTTTCGTGTTCGGAAGATTACGAGATGGTCTGGTCTTGGGGAGTTTGGTTTTTGCTGGGAAGGCCTTTTGTTCTCCAAAAGTGGCACCCAAAGTTCAAGCCGCAGCGGGAGAACTTCACGTCCGTCCCGATATGGGTAAAAATCCACGATTTACCCCTTGCATGTTGGAATTCAGAGGGGATCTCTAGAATTGCTAGCAAGATTGGAATCCCTCTTGCTGCGGACAACCTTACGGAGCAGAAAACGCGACTCACCTTCGCGAGGGTGTGTGTTCTTTTGGACAACAACGCTGTCTACCCGGAAGAAATTAAAGTATCGCTGGACGGTGACATCGTAAGCTTGAAGGTGCAGTATGAATGGCGTCCTTTCCCTTGTGACCACTGTAAGTCTCTAATGCATTACTCTTCTGCGTGTCCGTCTAAACCAGAGGTAGTCGCTGAAAATCGGGAAAATCCTGCTCAAACTCATCGTGGTAGGAGTTTTAGTAGGAAAGGCAGAAACAAAAATTTTTCTAATGCTAGAGAATTCTCAAAACCTCCATCGGAAATTCCAAAACCGAAAGTCCAGACTTCTCAAAATCCTCCGGAACAACAGTTTAATGCTCCATATGTCCCCACTACCACTACAAACATAATTGGGCTTCCTCTTCATTATCAGGCACATTCCCCAACTCCTCACTCCCAAGCTACTAACAGTCCTATGGATCAGGACATCCCAATTCCTCACACCACCTTGACAGTAGATGTCCCTGTGGTTTCAGCCATCCCAAATCTAAATTCACCCAACGATGAGGAGGTTGTCTCCACCTCATCCAGCTCCTTACACATTCATGGTGTGGTAAAGAATCAGGATGTGTCGGTCACGTCCCCGAACAAGTTTGATGTTCTAATTGATGAGGATGTTAGAAACATTTTGGAAGAGCCAGACACTGGGAATTTTGGTCAGGAAGTTAATTCCTAAAAACAAAAACAGAAAGAAAAATTTAAAGAAGCTGCGGCTTCTAAAAAATCTGCTAAGGGGAAGCAGGTTAAAAAACCCCATTCTTCCAATTAAAAATGTTTATTCCATCCATTGCGGCGTGGAATGTTCGTGGTTTCAATCGTCTTGACAAAGTCCTTTGTTGCAAGCGTCTTACGGAGTCCTTCAAATTAGACATGATCTGTATATTGGAGAATAGGATTCATGCCCACTCTTTGCATGACCCGTTCTTTGAACAGTCCCACTATATTTTTTATAATGAAAGTAGCTGTCATAATTTTGCTCTGTCTTCTTCGGGGAGGATCTGGATAAAGTGGAATGCGAATAAGCTGTGCTTCAATCCTACTCATGTCTCATCACAGATGATATCTGGTATGGTTTCAGTTGCTTCTACTTCTCTATTTCAGATATCCGTTATTTATGCCTCTAATAGCTCCCTTGATCGGAAAGAGCTTTGGGAATCCATTGATCTGATTGCTCCTGCTGCTGACATTCCTTGGCTCTTTTTGGGAGATTTTAATTGTTGCAGATTTACGTATGAGAAACTAGGGGGCTCTTCTTTGACCCAATCTGCTATGTATGATATTAATAGCATGATATTCAAAAATAGCCTATTGGATCTGAATTCTGTAGGGAGTAAATATACTTGGTTCAATCAACGTGCTAACAATCCTATCCATATTAAACTTGATAGAGTATTGGTGAACAATTGTTGGATGAATGCTTTTACTGACTCTTTCTATTCCATCCAAAGTCCGGCTTGTTCGGACCACTGCCCAATCATATTACACTCTGGCATTGCAAAACAGGTTCGACATAGATTTCTTTTTAAAAATTATTGGACAAAATTGGATAGATATTGGACTCTACTCTTACAAGTTTTTTCTGAAAATGTTGTTGGCAATCCTCTTTCTCATCTATGCAACACTCTAAGGCAATTAAAGTCTTTAATAAAGAAAGAGTTTTGGTCAAACTCTAACTCTTTTACTAGGCACATAAACTCTTTGCTACGGCATCAAGGAGAGATCTTAGAGAAGCTTCAAGAAGAGCCGAACAGTCCTACTCTTAATATAGCTTTAAAAGATACTAATGCTACAATTGCAGGGTTTAATGCTATTACTGCCTCCTGGATTATTCAAAGAGCAAAAGTTAATTGGTTAAAACATGGGGAGGAAGATCTCAAATTTTTATATGGCAAAATCAGGTGTAGATGAAGCAGCTCTAAATATGTCATCAATCTGCCTGCTTCAAATCCATCCACTAACCGGGATGCTGTTGTTTCCACTATTTTGAAACATTTCCAAGAACTATACAATCCCCCTCATCCTCAAAATCATTGTTTGGATTCCTTTCCAATAGGCTCTACCCTTCCTGAAATGTGTCATAATGTTTTAACATCTTATATTCAGGAAGAGGAAATTAAAAAAGCTGTATTTCTTGGTAATTCAACTTCTGCTCCGGGACCTGATCGATTTAACTTCCACTTCTTCAAAACGGGATGGCACATTGTGGGTCCCCTTGTGTGCAGGGCCATTCGCTCCTTCTTCAAGGGTTACATTCCTATTGGGGTTAAAGCCACAGCCCTTGCTATTATTCCTAAACACAAAAATGCTACTAGTATTGCTGATTACAGGCCGATTGCTCTTTGTAATGTAATATACAAAATCATTGGACATCGTAAGCTTGAAGGTGCAGTATGAATGGCGTCCTTTCCCTTGTGACCACTGTAAGTCTTTAATGCATTACTCTTCTGCATGTCCGTCCAAACCAGAGGTAGATACCGAAAAACCGGATAATTTTACTAAAACTCATCGTGGTAGGAGTTTTAGTAGGAAAGGCAGAAACAGGAATTCTTCTAATGCTAGAGATTTCTCAAAACCTCCATCGGAAATTCCTAAACCAAAAGTCCAGTCTTCTCAAAACCCACCGGATCAGCAGTTTAATGCTTCAAATGCCACCACTACCACTACAAACATTATTGGGCTTCCTCTCCATTATCAGGCTCATTCCCCAACCCCTCAATCCCAAGCTACTAACAGTCCTATGGAACAGGACATCCCAATTCCTCACAACACCTTGACAGTAGAAGTCCCTGTGGTTTCAGTTATCCCAAATTTAAATTCACCCAACGACGAGGAGGTAGTCTCCGCCTCATCCAGCTCCTTACACATTCTTGGTGCGGTTAAGAATCAGGATGTGTCGGTCATGTCTCCGAACAAGTTTGATGTTCTAATTGATGAGGATGTCAGAAATATTTTGGAAGAGCCTGATTCCGGGAAATTTGGTCAGGAAGTTAATTCCAAAAAACAAAAACAGAAAGAAAAATTTAAAGAAACTGTGGCTTCTAAAAAATCTGCTAAGGGGAAGCAGGTTAAAAAACCCCATTCTTCCAATTAATAATGTTTATCCCATCCATTGCGGCGTGGAATGTTCGTGGTTTCAATCGTCCTGGCAAAGTCCTTTGTTGCAAGCGTCTTACGAAGTCCTTCAAATTAGACATGATCTGTATTTTGGAGAATAGGATTCATGCCCACTCTTTGCAAGACTCGTTCTTTGAACAGTCTCACTCTATTTTCTATAATGAAAGTAGTTGTCATAATTTTGCCCTGTCTTCTTCGAGGAGGATCTGGATAAAGTGGAATGCGAATAAGATGTGCTTTAATCCTACTCATGTCTCTTCACAAATGATATATGGTATGGTTTCAGTTGCATCTGCTTCCCTATTTCAGATATCCGTTATTTATGCCTCTAATAGCACCCTTGAACGGAAAGAGCTTTGGGAATCCATTGATCTGATTGCTCCTGCTGCTGACATTCCTTGGCTCCTTTTGGGAGATTTTAATTGTTGCAGATTTGCGTATGAGAAACTTGGGGGCTCTTCTTTGACCCAATCTGCTATGTATGACATTAATAGCATGATATTCAAAAATAGCCTAATGGATTTGAATTTTGTTGGAAGTAAATACACTTGGTTCAATCAACGTGTTGACAATCCCATCCATATCAAACTTGACAGAGTTTTGGTGAACAATTGTTGGATGAATGCTTTTACAGAATCTTTCTATTCCATCCAAAGTCCGGCTTGTTCGGACCACTGCCCAATCATTTTACACTCTGGCATTGTTAACCAGGTTCGACATAGATTTCTCTTTAAAAATTATTGGACTAAATTGGATAGATATTGGACTCTACTCTTACAAGTTTTTTCTGAAAATGTTGTTGGCAATCCTCTTTCTCATCTATGCAACACTCTAAGGCATTTAAAGTCTTTAATAAAGAAAGAGCTTTGGTCAAACTCCAATTCTGTTACAAGGCACTTAAACTCTTTGCTACGGCATCAAGAAGAGATCTTGGAGAAGCTTCACGAAGAGCCGAACAGTCCTACTCTTAATATAGCTTTAAAAGATACTAACGCTAAAATTGCAGGGTTTAGTGCTATTACTGCCTCCTGGATTATTCAAAGAGCAAAAGTGAATTGGCTAAAACATGGGGAGGAAGATCTCAAATTTTTATATGGCAAAATCAGGTGTAGAAGAAGCAGCTCTAAATCAGTCATCAATCTGATTGCTTCTACTCCATCCACTAATCGGGATGCTGTTGTTTCCACTATTTTGAAACACTTACAAGAACTATACAATCCCCCTCCTCCTCAAAATCAATCTTTGGATTCCTTGCCAATTGGCTCTACCCTTCCTGAAATGTGTCATTATGCTTTAACATCTTATATTCAGGAAGAAGAAATTAAAAAAGCTGTTTTTCTGGGTAATTCAACTTCTGCTTATTCCTAAACACAAAAATGCTAATAGTATTGCTGATTACAGGCCGATTGCTCTTTGTAATGTAATATACAAAATCATTGCTAAAGTGATATCAAATAGACTCAAACCGATCATGCCTTCCATTATTGAGTCTAATCAGTCGGGGTTCATAAAATCCAGAATATCTACTGATAATTTTTTGCTAGCAAGTGACATTCTTGCCTCTGCTGGTAAAAGAGGTGGAGCAAACTTTTTTTGTGACTAATTAGACATAAAGAAAGCATTTGATACAGTTTCCAGGGAATTCATTCTTGATAGGCTGGTAAAGAAAGGTTTTCCAAATGTTTTTGTCAATTGGATTAAAATGTGTATTACCGATGCAAACTTTTCTATTGTTCTAAATGGCGCTTTGGAGGGTTATTTTAACACTTCTGCAGGGCTGAGGCAAGGATATCCTTTAAGTCCATATCTATTTTGTCTTGCCATGACGCCCTCTCTAACCTTCTGGATGGGAGAGATTTTAAAGGTATATCTGTCAACAACTTCTCTTTAACCCATTTGTTGTATGCTGATGATGTATTGATATTTGGGGAGGCAAGTTTTGAGAATTGTCACAAGCTTGCTAATATTTTATGTGATTTTGCAAATGTTACAGGGTTAAATATCAATTTTGACAAAAGTGCTATCATGTTTCCCAAGCATTTTAGATATCAACAAGAGATCTGTCAAATTCTTTCCATACACAATATTTCTTCTAAGATATCTTATCTTGGTATACCTCTATCATTTCAAAGGCTTAAGATAGAAGATTATCTTCCTTTTATGGATAGTATTAACAAAAAGATGAATGGTTGGAAAGCTAATCTGTTGTCTTTTGGGGGCAGACTTCAGTACTTAAAGTTTACCATACAAAATTCTATTGGGTACTGGATTCGTGGCTCTATTCTACCAAAAACTGTTATCAAATTCCTTAAGAAGTCTAGTTCCAGATTCTTATTTTTTGGGGATTGCTCCTCCTCTACGAAGCTGCACATGATTTCTTGGGATGTCATCTGTCGACCCAAGCAAAGAGGAGGGTTGGGTATACCTTCAGTAAATGCACTTTAATTTGCCAATAACTGTTCGGTTATGTTTCGGATGTACAACTGTATCACTCCTCTATCCAACTGGTTGATCAGTAAATACATGTCGCCATGGCGCCCTCCTCCCTGCAATGCGTCTAAATTTTGGAAATCGGTTTTTCGAACTGCTTCACAAGCCAAAAACTGTTTTAATTTCAACATCACTAGCAAGGCTCCAATCTCTTTGAAATGGGACCATTGGTGCAATAATGTCACTCTTGGGAATTACTTGAGGGATGCGGTTTCCATTCCTGACATTCTGCCGAGGGATTTTTATATTAATTCACAATGGGATATTCCTAATTTTATTCCTATGCACTTGAGAAAACTTTTTGCAAATGCACATCAAGATGAAGAACCTTGTTTACTCTGGAAGAACAAGAAGGTTTATAAACATAAATATTATACTGATGAGTTTTATGCTGACATTCCCATTAGCTCTTGGTAGAAATTTATTTGGCACAAACGGTACAGTCTGAAACATAACGTTTTTGTGTGGATGGCAATTGTGGGAGGTTTAAAAACAGCTGATGCTTTAAGGGCTAGACAGATATATATCACTTCGAAGTGCAGCTTATGCCACACTTTAGATGAGTCAGTTTCCCATCTTTTTTTCGAATGTTCATATTCCTTTTCTGTTTTAAATGCTCTTATACCTGATACAAAAGAACTGCTTTTACGACCATCTTTGCTGCATCTCTTTGTTTGGATTAATGAACATTACAAAGGTCACTCTCTGGTTAAAAACTATTACAAACTTCTTACTTGCTGCACTATCTACTACATATGGAAAGAGAGAAATGCTAGAAGATATGGAAATTCTGTACAAAGCTCCATTACGATTGTTCATGCCATTAAAAGAGTGATGTTTGAAAAAGTATCTCAATGGAAGGATCAATTAAATATGCTGGATCTGATTTAAACTGGTTGGATTTCATGCTCAGCTGCCTTGCATTGTTGCGATCATGCTGTACACTTTTGCTAAGTCTGCAGATTTTGGCCCGCTTGGACGATGATGAAGCTCCATCCTGCAGCTCCCTTGGACGGTCTGTTGACCTCCACAGATTACCCAAAGAAAAAAATCAAAATCAAAATCAAAATACCTGTAAACCGTTGGTTCCAGGAAATCCTCCGCAAGTCCTGCCCAAAATCCCGCCGAATCGCTGTGCAGTCGGCGCCGTCCCGGGAATCCTGCGCGAATTCTGCGATCCTCTCCTCGATCGAGCCCC